ACTTCAGATGTCTTGCATTGGAATCGCATAGTTCCATAATTTGATGTATACGTCTCTAACAGGCATCGCTTCCCAGAGGAAGTGACAGAGAAAGAGCACAAACCAACCGGCAATTCCTCGCAGACTAGCACCCCTGCATCCAGGAAAAAAGAGAAACACAAATGTTAGTCATAGCATGGGATTGGACAATAGATCGAGAAAATTAATGGAAGCACTCTTGTTTTGGATTACCAAGTGCTCCCTGGAGGAAGAGAGCAAAGGCGAGGAAGATGATCACTTTCATTTTAGTACGGAAGCTTGATTTTTGCTTAGGAAAATTTGATTTTTCTTGTGGCTTGGTGATGTTGGGAATGGTTTGAAGTGATTTTCCTGCAGAACTTACACGCAGAAGATGATTTTTATAGTGTCTGTGGGGTGGGAGGATGGGCTTGAGGCAATTAGGATAGGGTAGGGCAGGGCCTAACAAAATGACATGGTAGTGGTACTGTTTTGAGAAGTATTTTGGAGTAATGTATCGAATTTGGTTGAAGGAATCTCTGTCTATTTAACTTCTTATGTTTTATTAGACTTTCTCTTATAATAGTAAATAATAATATTTGCCTTGTCATCAATGGAATTCGGAAGCCGGAAGGAGCGCACAGGCAAAGTTGCCAATCTTTGTACTATTCTGAATTGGTGTCTGAATGCTGAGTTGTTTTGTTTACAGCTCACTTCACGTGCAGGGTAAGTCTAAAACATCAAATTAAGATTAATAAGATAAGAACTGAGATGACTTAGTGGAGGTGGAGGTGGAGTGGAAGGTGGTGCCGATCGAGAATAAATTAAGAGAAAGAGACTTGGATAGTTGGGTCATATTTAGCATCGACCTAATGACGCCTCATTCATATGACTGATGCAATTTGGGGAGAGCAAGTGAGAAGATGAAGGATAGATCAAAATTATCTTAGTCTGCGTTAGTAGATCTACCAAATTTAATATGGGAATGAAACTTTTTTTTATTGTTGGTACAATATTGAGAACTCAACAAAAAAAAAAAAAAAAAAAAATACAAATTAAAAAATTTTTTATTAAAAAAAAAGATTTTAAATTNTTATTAAAAATCAAGATTTTTCAGTATTTTGTCTTGTTTGTGAGCAATGGTCTCTTTTTTGTTCCTCTTTGGGGACCGACGAAACATAATACCATTATTATTATAGGAAAAAGTCTTAATTAACATAACAAGTTTAACAGACAAAAATTCCTTCAAACAATTTGCATGTAATGACAAGATACATCTCAAACAATACCATTACAATGTCATTTAGCTA